GCATCCAAAATAAAAGTCTGTGTTTACATATATATTTGTGTGTGCTGTATATAATTATTTTGTATATATAAATACACACACATGCATGTATTGTCACAGTCTTCGTCTGCACCATCCTGTCTTGTCTTCAGCACTACACTTCCCAGGATCCTCTCGTCACCCTATCCCGTGTTCACTCCCTCATCAGCCACCTGTTCCTCGTCATCGTCATCTGTTTCACCTGTCTTCACCTCGTTATGTTTGATTCAGCTGTGTATTTAGTTCCCTCTGTTTTATTCAGTCCTTGTCGGTCGATGTTGTATGTTACCCGGAGTTTCCCTGTCCTCCTACCTGTATTTTGATTAAAATCAGTATCTTCACGTTCATCTGGACTCCTCCTATTCCTTCTGCCTGCACTCCTGCACTCCACCATCTCACACCGTGACATGTATATGTTTAAGAAAATGTTTTATTCCTATATAAAATATTTATATTTATATAATATAGATTATGTATTTATATATATATACAGAATTTAAGAGCAAATAATTCTTAAATATATGCATGCATGCATAGGTATTTATATATACAAAATAATTATATACAGCACACACAAATATATTATGTAAAACAGACTTTTATTTTGGATGCGATTAATCGCAATTAACTTTTGCACAGCCCTAATACATATATATATATATATATATATATTATTATTATTTTGGATTCCATACATTAGTTTTTTATTCAAACTAAATTCTGTTATCCAGCCATTTCCTCCCTTACTCCTTCCTATTTCATCCTCATCACCAAAAATGTAAGGTCTTTGACAGCCTCTACCTTGAAGTTGTTGGTTCCAGTAACAACTTTTTTTTTGGTTTTGTATTTTTACAAACATTGTTTGAGTCAAAAAACTTTTGGCGAGTGTTCATTTCCAACCCTGGTAATAACCAAATATAATCTACAGTCAATATAAACTTTCTGCTTAGTGATGGGGGTTCTGTGGTTAATAAAAGTGATACTGTACTGTTGTCAGTAAGAAAAAAAGAAAAAAAACTTGGACTTTTGTGTTGAAGCTTTCTAGTTTGTATTTTGTTTCTAACTATAGACCTTATGTAGCCCCGCCCCTTTTCAGCGCTGCACTCGTTGTCCTTTGACTTCCGGTCTTTATTTTCATAGTGTATGAATGAACTGCTCGTAAAAAAAAATTCCCGGTCGACATTTGTTAAGACATCTGCATTACAATGCTTATGATAAACATTACAATGCTCTTTTGTAAAAAAAAAAAAAAACTTGTGTTAACTCTACAATAAGTAAATCCACTTCACCAGCTAATTACTCTTCGACAGCGATGCCATAGAAATATACAGAGCTACCGCAAAAACGGAAGTTCAAAGACAATATTCTAAAGATGACGACGCCCATGTTTTTCTGGTGCATAAGGTCTATACTTTCTATCACTCTTCCTGCCTATTAATAGTTCCCTTTCAGTCACTCACGTTCGACATGACGACGTAATTGGGATCACTTCAAGGAGCCCTATCAACTTTGTGTGTCTACAGAATGAGCCAATGAACGTTGGCGGGCATGAGAATCGTCACGCTTCCCGCCCCGCAGTGCGGGTATAAACACGAAGCAGGCGCACACACTCATTGTCTTTCACTTCAGAACTGAAATTTCGTTTGGACTCTTGAGTTTCTGCAGACTGTCTGCACTGCAGACTTCAAAAGGAGAATACTCTGTTCCAGTGCTAATGTAAAGGCGCGATCAGCGGTGGCCGCAAGCATTACAGCTCACAACTGCTGTTTTCACAGCATTGCTTGTGTGTGTCTGTGTGTGAACCCTGATTACACCACGGCTATCCCTGGGTGCTTCAGCACTGAGAGAGTTATTTTTTTCTTTTTTATATTTTTTGTTTTCAACTAAAAGACCAACACATGTGTGACCCTACGTCCTTTTCAGGATGTCATTGTGTGCTTTTGCTTTTCTCTCATGTTTGGGCATTCAGCTTGCTGAGGCAGCTTTTGTGAATAGTTCATGTTCCCATTGACTATGACAGTGCTGAGATCGAAACTCCCTTACCTTAAGGGAGGTGCAGTCCCCTTACCTATGCCCCGATCTAGCGTCTATTCTGGACCTCAGAATAGACCTACTTCTGTGCATGGTCAGGGTGATCTGAGGATTACCGTGATGGCTTCCCCACTGAGGCAATCTCTGTGGGTCCTGCACGCCTCACAAGCGCAGCCGCCGTTGGGGCATCCAAAGGAATGCACTGCTCCTGTTCATGGATGACCAGCCGTGTCCTTTCCACATGACAACCTGATGTCTATCGCAAAATCGGAGGGGGAGCTTCAGTCCTCTGGAGATGAAGATTCAGAGACCACCCTTTGCAGTCAGCTGAGTTAAAAATTCTGCCCTGTAAAACAGTACTCCTGGTTGCATTGTCCTCCATCAAGAGGGTAGGGGATCTGCATGCATTTTCGGTCAACGAATCGTGCCTAGAATTCAGTCCGGCTATCTCTCAAGATCATGTCTTTGACCCTGACCTGGATACGTGCCCAAGGTTCCTATCACTCCTTTCAGGGACAAGGTAGTGAACCTGCAGGCGCTACCTTCGAAGGTGGCAGACTAAGCCCTGGCTTTTCTCTGTCCCGTCTGCGCTCTGTGCCTGTATGTAGACAGAACGCAAAGCCTCAGAACCTAAGATCAACTCTTTGTCTGTTGGCGAAGGCTAGCAAAAGGGAAAGCCTGTCTCCAAGCAGAGGATGGCCCACTGGATAGTGGATGCCATCGCCTTGCCCTACGAAGCTCAAGCTCAAGGCGTACCTTGCCCGCCTGGGTTGAGAGCCCACTCCACTCAGAGTGTCACTTTTTGGTAGGCGCTGACACACGGTGCCTTGCTTACAGATATCTGTAGAGTTGCGAGCTGGGCGACACCTAACACTTTCGCTACGTGTTGAGCCGGTTTCTCCCTGTGTGCTCGCTTCAACCAGCCGGTAACACCGAAGTTCCCGCTCTAGTGTCGACTTGTTGCGCCACTCCTCTCCACGAAGCGGATATGTGTCCTTTTTGCTCCAGTCGAGTTCCCCACTCAGGCGAACCTTTTGAGTTCCTCTGCACCCCTTCGGGAGTCGGATGTTGCGGAGTGTCCGACGCCAGGCCTAGTGCTCGTACGTATGCTTGTGTAACTTGTGCTAGGCTGGGTTCCATATATGGTGATACCTGCGACAATCCCATATGAGTATTCTTCCATGACCAGCTCCCTACGGAGAGCCTGTGTCTTCCCTTGGCAGAGTCCGCTCTGCCATCACTGTCTGGTGTAGCCTCCCCCTTCTTAGGCTGGAGCCTCCACAGTGACATTCCATATGTTGCACTGCCCCTACCGGCCAGTCCGTATGTATATTCTTTACGTTACCTCCCTTAGGGCAGGATTTGTCTTCCACAGCATCCCCTTCCCCTGGAAAGGCGTGCTTTTCCAGTGTTATGCAAGAGTTCCACTGTCTGGGTTATAACGGAGCAGCAATCCGAATGCCCTCTGCGTAGGCCTTCCGCCCCAGCCAGTTGGGGGTCTGAGAGTCTTGCGTAGGGCGCTGGATGTGGCAGCAACCGATGGCGTTTTCCATGGGATCCCAATTACGTCGCCAGGTCGAATGTGAGTGACTGAAAGGGAATGTCTCGGTTACTGTTGTAAACCTCGTTTCCTGAAGGAGGGAACGGGAGACGTGATGTCCCGCCACCACAGTTGCTGACCATCGCTGTACGGCCATCACAATCTCGTGTCCTCAGCGAAAAACAATGAGTGCGTGCAGCCGCTTTCTTGTTTATACCTGCGCTGCGGGGCGGGCACGGGGAATGTGACATTTTTCACGCACGCTAACGTTCACTGGCTCATTCTGTAGACACTCAAAGTTGATAGGGCTCCCAATTATGCCGTCAGGTCTCCCGTTCCCTCCTTCAGGGAACGAGGGTAATATCAGTAACCAAGATATTTCCTTTAGTATCTTATCCCTTACATTAAATATTGTTCATTATATAAATATTTATATATGTATAAATGCTTTCCAATTTAAATATGTATGTATTAGCTTGCTTTACAGTGCTTTGCATAAAAAAGTGTGTGTGCGTGTGTAGGGGGTGCTTTATTGTTATTAAAATAATATCCTAATACAAAAGAATATTAATATTAATGATTATGATTTTTTTAATTATATATATATATATATATATATATATATATATATATATATAAATGGTAACACTTTTATTTAGGGTCCAATTCTCACTATTACCTAGTATTATTATTATTATTATTATTACTATTAGCTGCTTATAAACATATATATTACTAGGATGCTGGCTGTTTATTTGTACTATTATTCTGCATGACCATATTCTACATCCCTTAATCCTATCCAATACCTACACTTAAAGGAATAGTTCACTTTCAAAATATTTTTTGATATGTTTTAGCTTACCTCAAGGGCATCCAAGATGTAGGTGTCTTTGTTTCCACAGTATTTTCAATTTTGATATTTTTCGGTCAAACCGTTGTTGTCTATTAGTCATATAATGGAGATTTGAGGGGCCCACCTCAAAGAGCATTTGGACTTCTCTATGCAGGCTCTTTGAGGTGGGCCCTGTAAATCTCCGTTATATGACTGATAGACAACAAAACGGTTTGACCGAAAAATATCAAAATTGAAAATATTGTGGAAACAAGGACACCTACATTTTGGATGCCCTTGAGGTAAGCTAAAACATATCAAAAATTAATTTCAAAGTGAACTGTCCCTTTAACAACTACCTTACTAACTATTATTAAGTGGTTATTATAAGTTCATTGATGCAAAAGTTGTAGTTATTAGTTAGCTAGTAGTGAGAATTTGACCCTAAACTAAAGTGTGACCAAATAAACATATTTGTATTTTCTTAAATGTTTTTCTCTTTTACCTCCCTCTCACGTATGAATAAGATGTATGCCATCAAAATGTGAAGTCATCTGATTTCTCTCTTTATCTCAGTCGAGCGGCTCCCTCAGCCGAGTTCTCAGTTGACCGTACACGTCACCTGATGTCCTTTTTGACGATGCTGGGCCCTAGTCCTGACTGGAACGTTGGTCTGTCATCAGAAGACCTTTGCACCAGAGAATGTGGATGGGTCCAGAAGGTGGTTCAGGACCTCATCCCATGGGATGCAGGAACAGACAGTGGAGTCACTTACGAGGTGAGCTCTCATGGAAAGATATACAACGGGTCCAAAGGTCTGACACTTTCTATTTTGAAATTTGCCTTATTTACTAGAGGATTTGTCATCACAAACTACATTATCAGCAAGACAATTTGAGTGAGAAGTGAAAGTGAACATGAATTTTAGAATTCCTTAGTATTTGGTAGGTATGTTCCAATTTTGCTGACTTTATTTAAAAGCGAGGAAATCACATATTGAAATGCACTGCATTAAAAAAGGGCATGGAATTAGCAATATCTTTATTCTTGTCCAAAATTTTCTGATTCCAGGTTTGAATTAATAATAATAATAATAATTTTTAATAATTCTTAAAATATATTTTCAGTGTGGCCTCATACATTTGTTCCACATGGTTTAGATGTGAAGTCAATGACATACTACAGTGAAGTCTTTGGGTAATACAGATTGTGACTTATATACACATGCTCAAAGTAAATGCACCAAACAAGTTCTCTCTGTATTAATAACACAGAAAAATAAAAACATGAAAAAGAATTACTTAATTTAAAAAAAAAGCAATTTGCCAGCTGAAGTGGTCCACTTGAGACCACACAGTCATGACCATAGCTTGACTCTGCCATCTACTGGTGTGTGTCAGTTTGTCTGAACAAAACATCTGCTTGAATTGACATCATTCCCATGGATAATGATCAAATGTTTAATTGTTTGTTTAATTTACATATTGAAAGGTTACTATTTTTACTTGTGGAGTGAACATTTTCATGATTATCATGATAGTATTATTCCCCACAGCGCAGCAAGACAAGGTAACAAGATTGTTATTAAACTGGATGTTGGTGTTGGCATGGCCTCAACATTTGCGTTTGAATAGCGCACGCTCTCAGTGGGAGTGGTCACATTAACACGTTAACAATTAACTGAATTGTCTGAAAGGAAAAAGACTGACATCTCTCTCTTTTCATACAGATTACATGAACTGAGAATAGTTGTTTATACAAATTACTTCATTTAAAAGAAGATAATTTCTGCTTCATAAAGAGAAATCATTTGTGCCTGTGTGACAAGTATTGACTGAGTCACAGTTAATTTTTCGGAGGTGGACTCTCAGAATGGACTTGAGAATGGAAAGACAAAACGTGCATCAGGTTTATTTTTCTTTATTTGACAAAAAGCACAACACTTTGTTTTTATTGTGAGTGTGCACAAACAAATAAACACTTAACAGGATCAAATGATGTATAACAATTTTATGTAAGATTAAAATAGGCAGAGTATTTTGAGTTTCTTTTGCACTTTTAAGAAAAAAAGTGAGCTGGTATCGCCGGCAATACCACAGGGGTTAAAGAAACAATACATAAATTGAGTCCTTGTTCTTTTTGGTCATTCAGAAATGATGACAGAAGGATCTAATTGCAGTAAGAAAGTCTTTATTGACAAACATTACCAAAGTAAATCCAAAGAATGAGCAAAATCAGAAAAAAAAATCCAAAACCGTAGAGAGGAGTGCCCTCTTGAGGAGATCAAGGGCACTCCAACTGGTGGATGTTTCAGTCCATAATGACTTACTTATGTTTTATTCTTTTGAGGTATATACCTTTTTTATATAGTTTGATCGATTAAATGACAGAAAATGACCATTCCTGTAATTCTTACCACTTGTTTTTTTTTTTTCATTTGATTTTCATGTGGCATAAATGACTTGAACATTTGACATTTTGATGAATTGGTTTATTTATTTAATGTTTATTTAGTCTCCCAACAAGCCTGCAGCACCTCAGGAGAAAATTCGCCCCCTCACCAGTTTAGACCATCCACAGAGCCCTTTCTACGACCCAGAGGGTGGTGCGATCACTCCTGTGGCCAGAGTTGTTGTGGAGAGAATTGCCCGCAAGGTCTGCTTCTTTACTTGTCTTAAAAAAATTACATTTTCTAAAGAAAATATTCTCAGCTGTTGCATTTTTAGCTTTTATTACTGTGTAAAATATCTCTGCATTATGTATGTCATAAAAGTCTATAAACTGAGAGCTAAAATAACTCGACAACAACAACAGACTATACATATTGATGAAGCCAGCATGTCACAACAGTGCCATGGAAGTATTGAAAGTCATACATACTTTATTAGGAGAAAGTTAGATGGGTATTAGGACAAACAGAGAAAACTATAACCTGTCATCTTGTTTGTGGTTTTCAATCAGATAGCAATAGTGAATCAAATCCCATCACTGTAACTCTTCGTAATATGATTGAATGAGGGACATCATGTAGAATGTATTTGAAAGTTTGAGGTGTTTTCTGATGTCTGCAGGGTGAGCAGTGCAACATTGTGCCTGATAATGTGGACGACATTGTGGCTGACATTGCCCAGGAGGAAAAAGAAGAAGGTTTGCATATCTTTATCTGTTCATCAAAGGCAACCTTGAGAGAGAGAGAGAGAGAGAGACAGAGAGAGAGAGAGAGACTTTTAACTATTACATTTCTTAAAATCCTGCAATGTCTAACCAAATGGAAAATTCTTACTGTAGACTTTTTCGCAGCACAGAAAGCAGCATCTTCTTGACATGAAACGAGTGTTACCGAAACCTTCATCATTTTATTCTTTTAAATGAATTCTCAACTTTGAACTTTCTTCTAAAATTCCTTTAGAGAATAACAATAGTAACACAATACAGCTGTTGACATGCAGTATGGCTATCCAGTAGAGTTCTTGACAAAGAAAGTAATGTGCCTTTAAATGAAAATACCACTTCATCACTTCTATACTTTAAGTAATAATTATATATGCATATTATTATTATTATTATTATTTCTTCTTTTTTAGTAGCCTGACATCACTTCAACATATTTGCACAATTTTGTAAAACATTTAATTCATATAATTCTCTTGCGTACTGTTTAAAGCTATGGATTTTCTTGTTTCATGTTTCTTCTTCAGCCACCCTCAATTCTAGCACTTATAATTTAGCCAGTAGCGGTCAGGGTGTAGTTCTATATCACTTAGAGCTAAAGATAGTTTAATTTTAAAACCACAATAATACTTGTTTCCTGTCCTCCAATTTGACATAAAATGTGACTTAAGAGCTGGGAAAAGACATTATTCTCTAATCTGTTGGGTCTTGCACAAAATAAATTCCTTTAATGTTTCCTTTAATTTCATTTAATAAAATAATTTCCTTTAATAACGTCTCTTACATTTGTAAATTGGTTCCCTGAGTGGGTGATATTTATGGGAAATGTGTGTCACACTCACAAGTCACAGGTGTGACTTTGCACTTGAGGGAGCTTGTGCATTCAAAATGGTCTCAGTAACACTAGATCTAATCAGAGAAGAAAATCCACTATGTCTTCCTGCACTCTCATAAGAACCACTGGAAGCAGACTTATGTGCAATAAAGCATACAAGCAGGGAATCAGACTCACATCTGCCCTGCTGAACCTCAGCCAAATCAGACCCATGGTTCGAGGATGCAACACTATTCTCCAGGCCTTAACCCATGCCTTGAGAGATGATCTGCTCCCATATTTTACCAATCTGAGATATGCACTTTCCTCAGAGACATAAACTTTTTTTCTGCACCTAAAAACCACCTGATGAAATATGAAGACCATATGAAACCATATGGTATGACCATATGAAATTTCTCAAAACAAATCATCATTATTTTCAGGTAATTTATGTGACACGCAAAGATATCACCCACCCTTTGGCTGGGCCCTTCATAAGCTGATTTGCCCAAAGGATTGCCATTATTTCCAATGTAACTGATAGCATTTTCTGGTAATACTTATTGTGTGGTGAGGAAGCCAACAGGGAAAAGGTCTTCAATTGTTAATCCACCACTAAAATGGTTTCATATAAAGCACCTCCACTGGTGAAGCTGCTCCTAAAAAGACAAATTAATACTCTGTAAGACTGCTACTTAAGTGTCTTGACGACATAAAGACCTGTATGGGTCTGAACTTTTTACATTTAAATGAAAAAAGACAGAAGTAATGGTTTTTGAGGCACTACTGGGACCCCCCCAGCAAATCTGGATTCCTTGGCCCAGTATATTAAACCAACGCATTCTCATCCCAAGGCATTGTATGCTGATGCTTTTGCCAATGCGTAGACATCCAACGCACATGGCACCCTTTAGCGTCAATATAACACACACAGAGTATGGGTAGGTTTAGGTCTGGGGTAGGGTTAGGGTTAGGGTTAGACCACTAGGAGGCGCCTTCTGCCCCATATATACTGTATATATACTATATATATATATATATATATATATATATATATATATATATATATATATATGAAGAGTTCAGATGCAAAAGCCTCTAAGTGCCATTTGAAATTTTCTTCTAGAATGATCATTTTTATCCAGCTTGATTTTATCGAGCTTCAGTGATTTCACTTAAATGGCAATGATAATTACCTATTAATTGTTATTTAATTGAAATTAATGAACTTAAATATACAAGTTTGATAAAAATCATCATTAAAGAACAACATTTCAAATGGCATTTAGAGGCTTTTGCATCTGAACTCTTCATATATCTGCTTCTCATATTGATGCTAAAGGGTGCCATGTGCATTGGATGTATACGCATTGGCAAAAGTGTCAGTATATGAAGCCTTGGGATGAGAACAGGCGGATTAAACCTAGCATCACAAACCTAGTGGTTAAAGTGGACCCTCAGCTTAAATTTGACAGTCAGATCAAGGCTGTTGTCAAATCAAGTTTCTTCCATTTGAGGCAGCTGGCCAAAATAAAGCCAATTCTGTCAAGACAGCATTTCGAGACTATAATCCAAGCCTTTGTTACTAACTTGACTGGATTATTTTAATGCACTGTATTTGGGGGTTAGTGGGTCCTCCATCACCCGTCTCCAGATGGTACAAAAGCTGCAAGTCTTTTAACTGGCACACGTAAATGCCATATGGAGAGATTATGGTCTATTTTATTTGTTTTTTGTTTGTTTTTTCATCACGTTATTGATTTTGATTTTTTTTTTTTTTGGCACCAGTTGTTTTCCCTTTTTTTTTCTTTTGATTTGGTGTTCTTTTGTAATTTTGTTTTATTATACACGCTTTATTTTTGTGACTCTTTACCATGATTTAGAGTGTAGAGAAGCCCAGATCACAGCTGATTTGCAGATGGACAGCTGTTGGTAACTGCCACGTCAAATCACAGACAGTTCAAAAAAGCGAAGGAACTTAAAACAAGGTGACCTGTGAACACTGTTGTGCAGCTCTGTTCTCCACATTTTATTGCTGGACGGTAATCACGCTTGTTTTGTTTTTTTTTATTATTTCATTGCCCCGACCATTGCATGGATCATTGTCTGCTCGCATTGAAGCTGAAGCTTGTTGAAGTGATGGTCCTGCTGTTATTCCGGTAGCTAAAGGGATATCATCGTCTTTGCCGTTCTCTGCCGCGCTGGATTGTTGCCGCCGTCTGCTGTGCTGGGATTGCTGCCGTCCTCTGCGGTCTTTTTATCTGTAGAAACATGAATAAATGCATATAATAAATACATTTAAAAATATAAATAAAAGCAACTTTTTTTAAACATTTTTTATATCTCACTGAAGTTTAGTAAAAGCAAAATAAATATTTTTTTTAAGATCCCATTAGTGATTATTCTGTCTCATGTGACTCTCTTCACTAACGCACTAAAATGTACTTAATTAAACTTTTCATCCTTTCACTACGTTATTTTTTTTCTGTTTTGTCAGATGACACTCCAGAGACATGTATCTACTCCAACTGGTCTCCATGGTCTGCATGCAGCTCCTCGACGTGTGAGAAGGGGAAGAGGATGAGGCAGAGAATGTTGAAGGCACAGCTGGATCTTAGTGTGCCCTGTCCACACACACAAGACTTTGAGCCCTGCATGGGGCCTGGCTGCAGTGATGAGGGTCAGAATCAAACACACACGAAATCAGGGTTTCATTCCCCAGATGGAAATGTACATGGAAAATATTGTCATTCATATTCAAAGTTCTGTTTAAAACCCCATTGAGGAACCTCGCTGTCTACTGTTTATATAGGCAGTTGCCTTCTAAGAGGCCATCCATATAGGACATGTTCTCATTTTAAAAACAGCAGGGCAGGGTGCAATACAATGAATGCAGGGGTCTCTAGGTCTCTTTTTTTTTTTCAAGATTCAAAGGGGCCATTTACGCAACACCATTTTCAACCAAAAACTTAACTTTTGTTTTGGCCGTTCATTTACACAACTAGAACATCATCGTTTTGGGGGTCTGAAACAGTAAACTTTTGAATGTGCCGTTTTTTTTGTTTTTTTTTTATATCATTATCTCTGTTGTAAGGGAACTAGGACCAATATAACTCAAAGGGTGAGTGAATTACTGTGAATAAGAACCAAATTAATATGCAAATGATTCAAAATTAATATTTACCACTTTTTTCAACTATTCGTCCACCGATAAGTTGAGACTTGGGTATTTTATCAATTCTGGACATAATGTGGCCTACAGTAATAATATCATAAAATTATTATCACTGATTATGATCAAGGTAACAAAATATACAGTTTAAGGCAGTAACTTGTATGTAAAATCAACCAAGACTTTATTGAACTAAACTAATCTTACGAAAACACACAAAGATTCATTCAAACAGTGATAGAGAAAATGTGATGTTATTAACAGAGTATGATTGGAGTCCAAAATGTCTAGCGTTAGACACTATTTCTTGACCGCAACTTAATAGAATCAATATACAAGCAGATTGTGTTTAGGATTAGGAGATTGTATACTTGCGTTTGGATGCTCCTGTGAGTGCGTGCATTCCCTTCCGTGACGAAGTTGCTGGAGAGAATCTGTTTGCCGCAAATTGGCTGGCAGTCGGTTGAATCTCTTTGGCGCGAATTGGCTGGCAGTTGGTCGATGATGCATCCCGAGGGTCAATACTTGATAGTGAGTGGTTGGTTGGCTTTGCCGTGTGGCTGGTTGCTTCGTGTGCCGGTTTCCTGGTTTGCGGAGTTGCTATGCAATGGAGTTTCCTCCGAGTCTGGATGAGCAGCTGGAGCCAAAACTCTGAGAGGGGGTTTCTTTGACGAAGTTCAACGAAGGCTCATATGGAAGAGTCAATGAGTTTTGAGTGAGTTCTTGGTGGTTCGAGGTGCATGTAAACGTGCAAGCTGGATGATGGAAAAGTACACACAAATCGAAGGAAGAGCAAAAGTCGCTGCAAAAGCAAGACAAAAAGCAACGCAGAGCTGCTTGTCATTGGGTTATAAGCGCGTCCATCCGACCTGTCCTTCCGAGAGCATCAGCCAATAATTTTATTGTATTGGGTGGGTCTACGCCCCATTCTCCTGGTTCTTGCATGTATAGTATATACGTCTCCTGTAGCCATCTCGGCACCATGAATGCGTTTTATGACTTACTAATGGTTCGATTGGGAATTTTTCTGAACTGTGGAATGCGATGTTGTGTTCATTAAAGGGGTGATGAACTGAGAAATCAAATTTTTCTTGAGCTTTTGACATCTAAGAGGTCATCATATTATAAGAATATCTTGTACGTTTCTGAAACTGAAAACGTCCGTGTTAGTCCAATAAAAGCTTTTATTGAAGCCAGGCTCAGCAAACGACTCTCTTTTTCAAAGTAGGGAACTATGATGACAAAGAGGATAAAACACTACCCCCGCAGAGGAAGATCAATGCCTACTTCAACACGGCCGGTTTAGTCCTGCCCACCGATTCGCGCATAACACGCATAGCTAAATGACATAGGCCTACCTTGTGATGACAAACTGGATCGAGCTACCGAGCAATAAACATGCCGTTTACAAAATATTGTGCAGTGCATGGTTGTGGAAGTAGACAATCACTGCATAAACTTTCTCTGGATTCCAATAGGAAGGCATGGTTAAAGGAGAACTCTGTTCCATTTTAACATTGAGCTCATTTTTTTTGTACATTTGGAGTGCTGTCAGTACAGACAAAGTTTTGTTTAAAACTTTAAACATTTAACAAAAAATGAATAAATTAATGATAGATAGATAGGAATTTAGATGACTCTTTATTAACATTTAAAAAGAAAACAGCCCTGCCGTCTAATGCATCCCACACATTAGTGGGTGGACAGGTGGGTGGGTTTTTCCTTAGAGTTTAATGAGGTGTTCACATCCATTATCCATTGATTATCATACGATGGACATGATATATAGGCGACCTCCAGTGTACCCTGTTTACTCATGGTTTTTATTAATGATTCAATTAGCCATGTTTTATCAAGCAGAACAAATGCCAGAGAGAAGAGGGAAGTACAGGTTTTGCACCATAGACTTTCCATATTGCCAATCTAAGTATAGCTGATTATGTAATATAAGCAATATTATCAAAGTTCTTCATTAAGCTTCAGAGTAGAGTGAGCATTGTTAATTGATGTATATTAGACAATGTAATATAGCTTAGAAAGTCTAAATTGATTTAAGAAAAAGGTTAAAAAGTCATCATGTCCTGTTGAAAGTATTGAAGGTGGTATCTGTGCATTAGAACATAGTATAACAATAAATCAGCTACCATATTCAAAAAATCATTTTGCCCACCATAAGTTAATATGATGTGATTGTTCGATTGATTGATGGGGCTCTTGAGCAAGATGTGCCAGCTTTTCGAGGCCCCAGTTTTGCCTTAACCAGCTTAGACCAGCTACCATGTTCCAAAACAGCTAACACATCAAGCTAAATTTACCTGGGTTTTCTAGTTAAGTGAAAATATTGTTGAATAAGGACATGAATAACAAAGTGAATCTTAACTTTTACAGATTCTTCCACATGTATAATGTCAGAATGGATCACATGGTCACCATGCAGCGTGTCATGTGGCGCAGGTGTGCGCTCTAGGGAGCGCTATGTAAAACAGTTTCCTGATGATGGCTTTCCCTGCACCCTTCCCACTGATGAGACAGAGCCATGCACCGTCAATGAGGACTGCTGTGAGTATTATTTATCTGTTGACACACAAGCCATATTCATTTAAGTAAGTTACACAGATGTTTAATTTACCTATAATTCAATAATTCAAATACAAAGGTCCTGACAAATCCTGTAAATATCAAACTACTTCAAAAAACAATGCACTACAACCAATCTAATGAATTTATTTAGCATTTTTGGGCCTAACTGTCTGAAACAAAAAAGCCAACCCCTTACAGTATATTTTTATAATAGGCCCAAAAAAAAGGGGGGGGGGTGATAAAAGCTCCTCACCTACTGACACATTCTCCACTCCAATGGTATGTATTGTTTATGTTCCAGCTCCAAGCAGTTGTCTGGTTACTGAATGGGGTGAATGGGATATATGCAGTGCTACCTGTGGGCTTGGCATGAAAAGACGGGAACGGATGGTGAAAATGCCCCCATCTGATGGCTCCATTTGTGGGGCTGAGGTGGTAGAAGCAGAGAAGTGCATGATGCCAGAATGCCGTAAGTGCAAATACTCACATGAATACCCACATAAATATATGCAAACCCATGTCCACCCAGTTTAGCATATTCACACACATTCACAGGAACATTAACAGATTTCCATGCATCAATGGGAATGTTTATGTGGACATGAACTACTATATTAATTTACAGTACATACATGGCCAAATGAACATGTTCACAATTGTATACTGTATACGCACACACATGCATACATATTCACACAAAATGCAAGTAGTGAACACGTGTACTCCCACTTTAACATGTACAAATACATAACTCAACTCTTCAGCAACACTTCTTTATACCTATATTAATACACATAGCATACATGAATTTTAATATTAATATAACATACATAAACTTTCACGTTACAATATTCACACAGTATTCACAAAATTTACATATTCGCATGTATGCCAATTTAAGTATATTAACATAGAATATACTGACGTTAACATTTTCTCACAAATGCACATTATCATATTTATACAGAATAAACACCCTCATGCTTACAGTCCTCAGTGTTATGAAACTGTGTTTTTTGTGTGTATAGATACTATCCCGTGTTTACTGTCCCCGTGGTCGGACTGGAGTGACTGCAGTGTGACCTGTGGTAAAGGCTCACGGGCACGTCAGCGCATGCTTAAATCACCTGCAGAGTTGGGAGAATGCAGTGAGGAGCTGGAACAGACAGAGAAGTGCATGCTGCCAGAGTGTCGTGAGTTACACTTTTTCTCTATCAAACACACACACACTCATAACATAAACAATGTGTTAATAAGATAAATCAATGTGTTGCAGGATAAATCCTTGGGATGTCTATATTTTTAAAACTAAAGAAAGACAAAGAGAGTTGAGAATGAATATTACAGTGGTTCTAAACCAATATGCTTCTTTCATAAGGGTGACATCAAACTTGGAGAACAAGAGAACAAGTCTGCCTTCTCACTGTTCCCGCAATTCACTCACATGGTTTTCTCTCAGTCTCTCTTTTTGTGACCAGAAGGATAGTTCCGCTTAATTATCTCATCAATGTTGTAAACTTTGATTGACACGCTTTGACATGAGGGGGAGGCGGGGCCTTGAGTAATTTGCGGGGCCCTACGCAGCTTGCATAGTGTGCGTATAGGGAGGATCGGCTCTGACACCTGTATATACCCTGTGTTCTCCCTCTGTTATTGTTGGTTCTTGATAATAGTTGGTTGTGATTCTCCTTCTTTTTCTGCGTGTCCCAGCGGTTTTTGATGAATAAAGTCTTCCTTCCAAGTCGTTAGCATTTCCGCAGTTTTTCTGCGGGTTTTCTCTGAGCATTACAGTTGGTCTTAGTATATCCACAAGTTTCCTACGCCCCATAAGGCCTTGCGTCAAAATTGGGCGCGTCTTCCGGTTTGAAGTAAACAAAGCGCGACTTGACATACTTCACACTCGTTCATTCAACAGTTGACAGTCATTCAAGTTATAGCGATCCAAACTAGCTAACGATGTGGGAACACAACCTCAACGAAATTAAAAAGGGTGAAATAACAGCACCTTTAGTACTTTGGTTGGGAGTATTATAATAACATTATTAATTATCAATACTCATCAAGGCATGGTGACAGACAGTTGTGTGAGCTGACAAACAATTAAAATAAAAATACACACTTAGTCATTGTGCTTTGGAGTTTATTCAAAATTATAAATGAATGTGCTTCTTGAATAGATTAACTGGCACATTTGGTATTCGGTCAACTAAGGCTTTGATCCTGAGTTTAGGTGTAACATCAGTAGCGAACAGCCAATCACATGCTGATAGAGTTTATAGAATATTAAGAATTTAAACAAATGTACACAGGAAGATTCGTCGTCTTTTGGTAGGTGATGGAAACTACAGTCGTTGGCAGGATCACTCTGATTTCGTTTTTGGCTTATGTTCAACACAATCACTTTTAAGCCACTGAATTAGTTTAGTCCGGTTATACATACAACCGCGAACAGCACATGTTGTCCCTGAGCTCCGTAACGACATCTCTCATAAAGATTTGCGTCTTTAAATAGTAAAATAATTCTCCGAAAAACAGCTAGCCTCTTCGCTAACTAACACACAAAATACTATTGGAATGCTACTTCCGCCGCCTCACCGGAAGTTTCACCCACTTTATTTTTTACAGGAGCGCCCCTCGGAAACTTGTGGATAATATAGGCTGTCTGTCTCAATGTTAATCAAACAACTGTGGTATCATGGGGAAGAAAAAAAAAAACAAATTTCAGAATTTCGGCACAAGGCAACATAACAAAATGTGGAAAAAATAGCACACAAGTAACTGTCAGTACTTTGTCAAAATGGAAGTTGCTCCAGTCACTCTTCAACTCACTTTAGGAAAACACCTCTTGCGTGGTAATCCCTGAAGTCCCATGTCCACAAATGAAGTGAGCATGCCTGAGCTTAGAGGATGAGTGGATGAGCTTGGGAAATCGGTTGGCTTCAAAAACCTTTCTGAAAGGTCCTACCGGATGGTGTTTCAGTTTCTATTACCACTTTGGGAGAGCTGGCAAATGAAGACTTGGATGATGACAAGGAGGATCCCTTGTTCCCTAAGCAGAGTCTCCTGTTTGCCCAACTGTGTTGAAAGAACAGTCAGGGAATGCAACATGATGCTTACAGAAGGGTAGCGATTAGTTAGTCTGCTGACTGGTCATGGGCTCTCCTCAATCAAAATGCTCAAGGCTCTCATATAGAACCTTTACGGCATCTCCGAACTGGATATGGCAGGCATGGAGGTGATTGACTGGTCCCATATGCCAGCTCTATTTGGCTGGCCATCTTAATCCTTGATTTGGGTTTTAGAGTTGAACCCAAGTTGCCTCAAAGATCGGTTTCTCAGTCTTGTTTTTTTTTTTTAAAGATTTACAAAGATGCAGCTCAGATAGGGGCCTACGATTCATAGTTAGATGAGGATATGTCTAATGCTTTGTCACAGGGGAAATACGTTACAAAGCTCTAAAAAGAAGAACACTCGGGTTGGGTCTTTGGATGAATTTGTTCACGGTGGTCAAAAGAAATAGCAAATTTACTCAATCAGCTAGTGGCCATTCTGGCCAGAGTTTGGAGTAACGCTTAAAGGAAAACTCCACTGTTTTTTGAAATATGGCTTATTCACATTCTTTCCTACATTTAGATATGTGTGTAAATGCATTTTTGTCTCAGTGCATGCATTGTTTTAGTTTGACAGGGTCGGCGCTAGCTTAGCTTAGCACAATGAATGCATTCCTTTGTTGCCAGCTAACATGTCCTGAGTAAAAGTGATTAAAAAAATAAACAAACACACGTAATTACTTCTTGTCCCCTGCGTATTCACAACGAGTACAAATAGCGACGCAGATTGGCACTAGGCGATTTCCTAGGCAGATATTGACTTGGGACTATATTAGGGGGAAGCACAGGCGAAGAACTGCTGCTAAGGCGAATCACTGCTACTTGGGCGCAGAGACGTAACGCAACACATGAAATCCCACGACTTCCGTAAACATACCGGCTTGAATAGTAGCTACCTGACTATTTTCCTTACAGTACATGACTGGCGAGGAACATGGCTGATTTTGTGAGAGACGAAGAGTCAGACAGTCAAGAGCCAGAGCCATAACGTTACCTATTTGAACCAGAGTTTTCAGAAGAGGAGCTGCGTGCTTTAGAAATAGACCGAAATAGGAGGAGGATGTTGCGATCGCTCAACAGCCTGAGGACGTGAGGTGAGGGCCAACACGAACTGGTGTGAATGTGGGGGAATATGCCAACCTATGCCAACTGAAATAGAGTGTCTGTGCTGTGGCGAGTGGGGCCGATGGCCAGGCTCAACGCGTCAGATAAGATGAGCGTGCCCGCAGTTGTGTCACAGCTAACGTTACTGAGGATTTCACGGCACTGACCCTGATCCATCCTGCAGTACTTGTTTTTTTTTTCCGGTGTGAGGTGAATTGGAAAAAACGCGCCATGCCGAATGGACCAAATGGATATAGGTAAGTTATAACGATAACAGTTGTTTATGCTAAACAGGTAGAATTCAACATGACGTTCTTAGTCTAGATAAAGCTTCTCAGCATCGATCTTACAACAGAATAAAGACACCGATAAACATAAGGAAGAGAGTAATAAAAGAACTTACTTTGTTTTGCCTGCGCTTTGAAAATAGATGGGACGGCCGTATCTTTCAGACGTAGTAACTTTTCTTGTTATGCAATAAAAAAAAATTAAAAAAAACATATTCCATTTTTTCAAGGGTAACGTTAGTCCTCTGGTGCAAAATGCTCTTCGCAAACAAAACTGTTTTATTTTGTCGAGTGGCGTTGATGTAGGCTACAGATCTCCAGAGCAGCTAGCCATTTATTTCTCAGTTTCTGTGAAACATTACATTCGTGTAGTTCTTTGCTTGTTCTCACAACCTTTTGCTATGCAGGTAATTACCATGTTTGCTGTAACTTCTCAAAATAAATACTCATAAAGCGAAGACACTTGTTGCAGGTCGCGCCGCTATGTTCTTCTTCTGTTTTTTTTTTTTTTTTTTTACGCGCTGAACACCAGTATGTTTATGGAAGTCGTGGGATTTCATGTGTTGCGTGACGACTCTGCGCCCAAGTAGCAGTGATTCGCCTTAGCAGCAGTTCTTCGCCTGTGCTTCCCCCTAATATAGTCCCAAGTCAATATCTGCCTAGGAAATCACCTAGTGTTAATCTGCGTCGCTATTTGTACTCGTTGTGAATACGCAGGCCACAAGAAGTAATTACGTGGGTTTGTTTATTTTTTTTAATCACTTTTATTCAGGACATGCTAGCTGGCAACAAAGGAATCCATTCATTGTGCTAAGCTAAGCTAGCGCCGACCCTGTCAAAGTAAAACAATGCATGCACTCAGACAAAAATGCATTTGCACACATATCTAAATGTAGGAAAGAATGTGAATAAGCCATATTTCAAAAAAACGGTGGAGTTTTCCTTTAAATGGAAAGCCATTATAGTAATATTTCTTTTTTGCAGTAATATGACTAACTAATAATGACATTTTGATAATTGTATACCCATTACAATCTCAGTAATGCACATTACAACAACGTATTTTAACCATTTTAACTTTACTCTTTTCTTTGCAAATTGCAAGTCTGAAGAGTATAGGCATGTTTTAGGACATTCTACCACGTCAAACAATTGCTTAGTTTACATAATTGCTTAGTTACATTTATGTAATGTAAATTATCGGTTAACATCTTCTAAACACTCTTTAAATTTAATTTAATACTTTTCTCATTTATGCCAATCAATTTATCTTATCATATAGACGAGAAAATAAGTAGCATGCTGATCTCCCCATTGTGGGTTTTTTCACGTGGAGGACTCATGTGCTCATGTTTTTGCATAATTATATATTTTATAGTTTGTGGATAAACATATGTTTGTGCTATTTGTATATTTATAAAAGTTAACCATGCTGTTGTAGATTAAATATAACATGGCTAAAATGAAATCAATATTTTTCGTCAGGTTAGATGTTGTTTATTAATCTCTCAAAATCCTTTTTGTTCCGTGTCACTTGATGAGCTCTTCTGTGTCTTTGTCTGACCTTCCAACAATAATTAATTTGCATTGTTCGTTACATTAATGTGATGTTAAGTGATAAAGTCACACATTTGTGTCACGCATGTTTATAGTTTTTTATTCATGTATGTAGTTCTGAAATATCAAGAATCTTCCTCCAAAGCAAATATTACGTGGCAGTGTTAGCCATGAGTGTGCATGGATATACACTTTGAAAATTCACTCAAAATAGCACAGCATCCAAGTATGTGATTTGGGAAAATCACAATCATAATCTCAATACTAATCTCTGATACTAATTAGGACAGATAATTTGTAAATTAGGATGCAGAATGTATCTCCAGGGTGAAGATTCTTGAGTTACACAGTCAACTAATTTTCTATTGCATTGTTGTATAAATGCAATATCACACTCTCAATCATGTATAATATTATTTAATAATGTACAGTATCTTTTTTTGAATAATGCGATCTTTAATGAGATTCAATTAATAATTAAACACCTCAATCAAATTAGTACCTCTTGTGGAAATTTTCCTTTTTCATGTATCTTAGAGACTCACAATATTTCCATAAGTGTATTGAAAAAGGTTTAGTTTAATGAATGCAAACTTTCATGTTATTTGTAATTAAGGTTACATGTTTCATAAGACATAAACTCAGTACACTTTAAACAAATGTTTTAATAAATACATGTGTGTGTGTGAACCAGTAGTGACTAATAAACAAATTATGCAAAAATAAATAAACCCAAAATCATATAACAGCCTTTGAAATAATTCCATTTTTAATGAAATGTTCTCCTTGTGCTTGAATATTGTCTTTTTTTAATGTCTTTTTCTCTCTAGCAATGAACTGTATGATGTCAGAGTGGTCTGAGTGGTCAGAGTGCAGTAAGTCCTGCGGGAAAGGTCACTTGATCCGCACACGCATGATCACTATGGAGCCTCAGTTTGGAGGAGATCCATGCCCTGAGACCACACAGAGAAAAACATGCAAGATCAAGAAGTGTAATCAAGGACGCTTAAACAGTGACGAGAGGAAGAGACGCAGAGAAGACCGTAAGAAGAGGAAGAACAAACAGGGAAGGGAAGAGAGCGCAGATGAGCTCGCAGGTGAACATGCACATCATCTCTGTTAAAGGGATACTCTTATAAAATTCTATTCTAAAATTCATAATTTATTCACTTTCATGCCATCCCAGATGTATATTGCTTTCTTATATGGAACGCAAACTCAGATTTATTTTTTTAAATAATTCAGTGAAAGATGAAATGAAAATGAAAGTGCCTCAAAGTTGACGCTTTAAAAACAAGGCAAAACGGACCCTGCTGTAATTCATTTGACCCCTTTAGATTAGATTAAAAAAAAAAAAGTTTATTGTCATTCCAGCCAATACAGTAGGACGAAATGTCACACGATTGCACTAAATCTACAACGCAACTTACAAAAAATACAATTATGAGGACAATTTCTTAATTACTACAATTACTTCACTGTAATCAATACATTAACAATATACTTAAAATAAATATAAGTGATGGAATTAAAAGTGGCAGGTGACTTTGCATTGATATCAGTTGTGTGGCAAAAATACCTGAGTTATTAAAATGCAGATAATAAGTATTGGGTATCTTTGCGATGCTGTGGGTCTTGTTCACGTAATTCTCTAGTAATGTTCTAGTAATTCTCTCTGCAGCCCTTACAATGTGTTGCAGGGCTTTGTGGTCTGAAGCATTACTACTGCCAAAACTAGACAGTGATGCATTTTAATATTTAATATGCTATCAATGGTTCCTTTGTAAAACATGCTAAGGATGGATGTGAGTTGGTTTCCCCATGTCAGTCAATGCAGAAAGTGGAGATGTTGCTGTGCTTTCTTGCCCAGTGAGGTGGCACTGAGGGACGAAGTTTGATCCTCTGTGATGTGTAGACCCAAAAACTTGATAGTTTTAGAAAGTATAGGTTTGTGTGAGAAAAATCCTAAACTTTTAAACTATAAACCATCACTTCTGACAAACTGTGAGGATGCTGTGAAGTGTGATATAAGCAAATTGTGAAAACTCTCACAAGAAGTGATGCAGAAGCACCATCACTTTTCTCTCACACATCTATCATTTTGTTTCAGAAGACGTTGATTCATCATCTGGGGATGTATGCATTAACATTATGTTGTGTGATTTTTTGAAGCCTGAACTTTGAAGGAAGCCTGAACACTTGCATTATATGGAGCACAGCATTTCTGCTGACATTCTTCATAAGTAATTATGAATCATCACATTACCACTAGAGATACTGAAGATCTCCTTAGACAGCATCACAACATGAATATCACTTGCAGATGTCAATGAGCATCATAACAATGCCACTTCACACGCTGACAACACTACACTCTCTGTTAGTACGGTAATTTAGCATTAAAACTCACTTCAGATGCAGACATTCTCCATTAGTAATTATGTAGGGTCATAACATTGTCATCAGAGTCATAACATTGTCATTAAATTTGTAACTGAGACTACAAATGAAGAGTTCAGATGCAAAAGCCTCTAAATGCCATTTGAAATTTTCTTCTAAAATGACCATTTTTATAAAGCTTGTATATTTAAGTTCAGTAATTTCACTTAAATGACAATTAATAGGTAATCTTCATTGCCATTTAAGTGAAATTACTGAACTTAAATATACAAGCTTGATAAAAAATGATCATTTTATAAGAAAATTTCAAATAGAGGCTTTTGCATCTGAACTCTTCAAATGCAGTTACTCTTGTTGGCAAAGCAGCGTCACAACATCACCACAGCAGCAACTTAGATCCTTTACTAATTCAAAACATCATAACATCACCAATACAGACAATGTCACAGTACAGAATTTCAGATGAGTAACTGATCTTATTGCCACTAACAGCATTTCTATCTGGTCTAAATTTCTTCCTAAAGGATGCAAAATGAAGCCGTGGTCTGGATGGACTGACTGTACCAAGATGTGTGGTGGGGGAATCCAGGAGAGGCTAATGGCGGCCAGGAAGAGATTCAAAAATGCACAACTAAATAGCTGTAAAGACCGAAAAGAGATACGGGCTTGCAATGTCCACCCCTGCTAGGGCTGTACTGAAGGGGCTTGTGGGATGGTACCCAATCTGGGTTATGAACAGACTGACAATGTCTTGCAGTAATTTAATGCACTCTGTTAGGGGTTGATAAGCTGCAAGAGGTAGTCTGTTATTATGTTTTCTAGAATTTATAGTGACCCAGGCCTTGTCTGGCCTGTAAACAGATGAGAAACCAAGAAGGAGGGTGGTCAGAGTTGCAATGTACTGTACAATTAAGATGTATTAATATGCATTCATATTTAAGAGTAGCAGCCCTTTGAGAAACTTTGAAGTTATTTTAAAGATTGTTTTTTCACAAGTAGGACCATGGAGTTAATGTGTTCTGACATGAAATTTAAAACATATTTCTTCTTTTACACTCTGTGACACACACACACACACACACACACACATATATATATATATATATATATATCGTCGCTGTCCGATGAAAACCGCGTATGTCCATTTTGCCGATTTTGAGATTTTTATATATATATATATATATATATATATATACATTCCTCTTTTTCTTTTTTTCTGGCTATTACAAACAGACCAGATCAGAAGAGCTACATTTAGATGCAAGCAAAAAATTATTTCAAGAGATTTGAAATTCAATGTTGAAATGACTGTAAATGTCCTGGGTTTTTAATTTTTTTTTTTTTTCAGCCTGGTCTCATTTAAACAAAGGTATTGTTTGTAACATTTAAACAAAAGGTACAAACGAGTACGAAAGCATACTTTTTTGGATAGATACTGAAACTTGCGATATGGAACTATTGACAACATCTATATAATGTAAATATTATTATGTAATTGCAGCTATAGAAATGTGAAATATTTACAAATCTTTTATGTCATAAATATATTTATAGTTACATTTGTACCATTTTATATATTTTAGATCCCTTGACCCTACCACCAGACCTAAACATACCGGTAATAATCACTTTTATAGAGTTTAAAAATATTATATAAAACATAATAATAGGCAGATAGATGTATAATGACAAGTTTAGTTTCAATATACCATTAAATACATATTTAATGCTAATTGCTAATCTCACTCTAAACCTAACCTAACAATTTCTTAAAAATATATAGCCTACAGTATGAAGAGAAATGTAACAGACAGACAAGTGTAATCAACATAACAATTATGTATTGTTAAAATGTAAAAAAAAAAAACAGGACCAAAATAGTCCAAATGACAATGTGTTGCATTCAGTCATCTCAAAATTTATTTACACACATACACTCACCTAAAGGATTATTAGGAACACCTGTTCAATTTCTCATTAATGCAATTATCTAATCAACCAATGACATGGCAGTTGCTTCAATGCATTTAGGGGTGTGGTCCTGGTCAAGAAAATCTCCTGAACTCCAAACTGAATGTCAGAATGGGAAGGAAAGGTGTTTTAAGCAATTTTAAGAGTGGCATGGTTGTTGGTGGCAGACAGGCTGGTCTGAGTATTTCACAATCTGCTCAGTTACTGGGATTTCCGCACACAACCATTTCTAGGGTTTACAAAGAATGGTGTGAAAAGGGAAAAACATCCAGTATGCGGCAGTCCTGTGGACGAAAATGCCTTGTTGATGATAGAGGTCATGCAGAGGAGAATGGGCCGACTGATACAAGCTGATAGAAGAGCAACTTTGACCACTCATTACAACCGAGGTATGCAGCAAAGCATTTGTGAGGTCACAACACACACAAGCTTGAGGGGGATGGGCTACAACAGCAGAAGACCCCACCAGGTACCACTCATCTCCGCTACAAATAGGAAAAAGAGGTTTTTGCAAGAGTTCACCAAAATTGGACAGTTGAAGACTGGAAAAATGTTGCTTGGTCTGATGATTCTCGATTTCTGTTGAGACATTCAGATGGTAGAGTCAGAATGAGAACATGGATCCATCATGCCTTGTTACCACTGTGCAGGCTGGTGGTGGTGGTGTAATGGTGTGGGGGGTTGTTTTCTTGGCACACTTTAGGCCCCTTAATGTCAATTGGGCATCGTTTAAATGCCACGGCCTACCTGAGCATTGTTTCTGACCATGCCCATCCCTTTATGGCCACCATGTACCCATCTTCTGATGGCTACTTCCAGCAGTATAATGTCACAAAGCTTGAATCATTTCAAATTGGTTTCTTGAACATGACAATGAGTTCACTTTACTAAAATAGCCCCCACAGTCACCAGATCTCAACCCAATAGAGCATCTTTTGGATGTGATGGAACGGGAGCTTCATGCCCTGGATGTGCATCCCACAAATCTCCATCAACTACAAGATGCTATCAACATGGGGCAACATTTCTAAAGAATGCTTTCAGCACGTTGTTGAATCAATGCCACATATAATTAAGGCAGTTCTGAAGGCGAAAAGGGGGCAAACACAGTATTAGTATGGTGTTCCTAATAATCCTTTAGGAGAGTGTGTATAAAATGGTCATTTTGAGTCACAGCAATCTCACAGCAAGACCAAATGACATGACAAGTAAAGGTTAAATAATTACATAAATGTTGTTCATTTTAAGGTTTTAAAAAGTGGTCTCGTTTAACATTATGTCGTCCTTTGAAACAAGTTGGCACCAGAAATTACACAGAACATTAAATGTCAAATTAGGTAGAAGAGTTAATGCATTTGAAAACGCAGTTTCATTGATCATAAATATACAATCAAACGATTAATTCCAAGATTGGAATATGTATAAATAAGGATTTTTTATGTCTAATAAAATTGTTCATACATCTATAATTTACATTTTAGATGCTGTCAATGTTGTACTTTTTATTGTCTATTCAAATGCAAGTTAATGGAAACACACTTTTTCATTAAATACATAAGAAATTACTTGCATCTAAAGACTTCAATTATGTTAGTTTTGACATCTTTAAAGACTATAATTGTTTGCTTTTTAGTCCACTTAGCTCCTCAATATACAGTGGTCCAAAAATAATTTATCTACTTAGTCTCGCTTAAAATGTATGATTTTTTTTTTATTATTATTATTATTATTACACTGGACGATAAATTATCAAACCAAATGGCATCCTCAAAATGTTTTAAGACATTTTCTTAGAGCTTACATCAAATTGACTTTTATCTAGCTGGTATCACACAAGTGTCCTAGCAAAGTACACCAAGTGTAGTACTTTATTTTAACTCGTTCCACTACACAAAAAAAAAAAAAAAAATAATAATAATAATAAAATAAACCACTAACATTTGACAACCGGAAAGTATGCAAAAACAAAATAATGCCTTGTACAATGTTTAAAATAAATAGTTAATGGTTTTATCTATTTTATCTACTGTAATGCAATAACATTCATACAGTTTGTTTTCAGCGTCTTAATATTTTGGGGAAACATTGCAACACTAAAACATAATAACATTCACTTATTGTTGAGTTGTTGGTGGCAGATCTTTGTTTTTCACTGTCAAATCCCTTCCAGTATAAACATTTGTGCATTATGAAAGAAAGGAAGGCCACTCAAAAAATAAGACGTAATACACTTAAAACCTATATGAAGTACAGTACAGGTAACATCTGCAGTTAAACATTGGCAAAACAATACATATAAATAAAAAAATGTCAAGACCCAGTCAATTTCCTGTATAGTAGCCCTTTTGTATATCAAGCCCTAGATCTGGCAATATGTTTGATTTTAACTCCCCAGAAGCATTGCCATGTATGCAAACCAGCTGTACTTACTTTTGCAAGATTACTGTAAAATTGTTGTGGGGAATATATACTATTCTTGAGAAATGATAATGGCTATAAGCCAATTCAAATAAGTAATGGAACTGTTGTCTCCAGTGATTCATTTGTTGGTGTGTAATTTTCCTGAACTAAAGCACATATAACCAGCCATTCCAGGATTTTCTATGTTTCAGTGTGAAATGAATGCGGTCTAGGACCCATTGATCTGTTATTATTTTGTTCCCCAATGTAAGATGTAGTTACCATTTAACTGAAATATGTTAATTTGTTGGATTTTGATTTGCTTTGGTTTTATCAGCCCTTCTGATAACTCTATTTGTTTTTTTTTTGTTTATATATATATATATATATATATATATATATATAGAGAGAGAGAGAGAGAGAGAGAGAGAGAGAGAGAGAGAGAGAGAAATTGTTCTTACCAAAGTCCTGCGTAGATGTTTTGTAGTTGTCTCTCTTCCTTGTTGGTCCTATGACATAATTCATACTTTTTGAATATTTGCCCTTTACAATAAAAGGAAATATTACAAAGTCCCTAATTCACTTCCTGATTATTTGTGCTAAAGGTTTAGTTATATAATCCCCCTAATCATATAATCCCAAAAACAGTACAAATGCATCTAAATAACACATTTGTTGTGCCACGAGGCTTGGTCCCTTTGTCGTTCTCTCTGTAATTGATCTCGTTCAATACTGTCAATACTGTTATCAACAGGTACCAGGAAGCTAAGCGACTGTCGATGGCATTCGATAGTCGATGGAGTTAATTCCTCAACGTATCCAAGAGCCAATGGCATCCACCAGCTGTTCCCAGCCAGGCCCTGGTTCCAGAAGGGACGAGCAGAAGGCTAGCGTAGCTGCTTGCGCCTCTTTTCTCAGAGATAGGGGGTCGGGCAGCGTGCGCAAACACAGCTAAGGAGGAGATTCAATCTGTGGCCTGTGATCTCTTGTCGGGTGGCTAAAAAGAAGACCTGACACTTTTGAAACCAGGTCACTGGGGGCGAGCCCTCTCGTGGTAGATCTGGGTACACCACAACATGTACGAGGCTTCCCGTGATGCCATCAGAGCGTGTTTCTGCCAACCCCATACCATTGGTGATTCGGAAGCAGTATAAAATACAGAGATAAAATACTCTGTATTTTATCCGCCCTGTCTTCACTCACGGGCAATCTTTCTTCAGAGTTTGTTTTGGTTGTTCCCTGCCAGTTCTCTGATTGGGAGCCCCAGACAGGTTGATTTTAGTGATTAAATGATACCTCGGTCAGACTTTGTGGCACCATGACAACTTCTGCTCAGTGTCTGTCAGTGGGTCCTGAATACTGAGGAAAGGTTACAGAACTCAGTTTGAATCATACCTCGCTTCAAAAATGTATTAGAAACAGTGGTAAACCAATAACAAAAGATTTTTCTAAAGCAATAACTTCAGCCTCTCTTGGGGAAAAGGGGGTGTTTTTGGGCCCTGAAGAAGTGTTGATGCCCTGACATTTGTGTGTTTTTTTCAGTTGCTTACTTGTATCAAGGTATGTTGTTATGGGAAGTTGGAGGTGGGAAACGGCAAACGTTCAACATACTTTAATAATAATTTAAAATAAGTAAACACAAAACGAAAGTTAAGGTGGCAGCCCTTCACAAATGACTGCCGCAACATATAATAAAACCTAAACAAAACAAAACGTAAAGTCCAGGCCTGGTCCTCTCTCGTTCTTCACTGTCATCGCTCCTCCTTTTATGCTTCCAAAGCTCCTCTGTGATTTACACTGTGACTGTAACAAACATTTAATTGTGTGCTTTACAAATCTTTAATATTCGATAACACAAGACTATAAAACGCTTATTATGAACTAAAAACATGCATCCACTTTCACAGTATAAAATGTCTTCTGAAGACACACGCAAGGTCCAACATGGAAAATCATCTGGTTTCTGCATGCTTCTCTCAAATTCTCAGCGAAAAAAAATTATTCACCGCAACATCAGAGCCCGTCTAACGGAGAGCCTTGGCACTTCCTATTAGCTCCATACGCCTTATTCACGGCAGCGCCATCTTTGATTTTTAATGAGAATGAAAGCGAGGCTGTGAGGGATAGACATGCATCTCTTCAATGGGCTGTACTGTTATTTAACGTGTTTTCGGATTGTTCTGCTCATGAAACACTGGAAAAATATCTTTCCAAGACATTTCAGTTGACAAAAAACTCCTGACAATGTAAGCTGTGGAAAATTGTAAGTAATCTAGGGGCTTTATTCAGCTTTTTACAGCGGATGCCATTGGAAACACGGTAAGTCTATCCCTCACAGCCTCACTTTCATACCTGTCATGGCGCGGCTCTGAATAAGGTCTATTGTGTATCATCTTGGTTGCAGTTCCATTAGAATTCCACTGGAGGTGATCGTGGGCGAGAGCAGAATGAATGGAAGTCTATGGGGCTAAACGGCTAAATGTGTCTCTTTCACCT